TGCGCAACAAGTTATCCCAACTAGCTCCAACTGCAGTGTTATACAGACTTTGTGTTCTCACTTGCTACAGGTGAGAAACCATGTGTGTCTACCAGTCAGACCATGCTGGTTTTTAGAGAAATTCCAGTTATACAAAACCATGATTCAATTTCCTCATCACTTTTATTGACAATGCTTCTAAATTGTTTTGTTTTGTTTTTCCCCCAAGAGGAAATTGTTCCTTAATGAGTCAGCTGGACATTGGCAAGGTACGAAATGGTATGTCAGTTTCTATCTTACTTCATTCATTCATTCAGCCAAAAGTTATTACAAAGCACCAAGCAAAAGACAGGTCCATTCCTATGTCTAAATTCATAAGGTTGGCAGTTTCAGGGATCTTTGTCTATTTTATTTCACTTCATTAATTCAACAAGATTTACTGACCACTTACTATGAAACAGGCTCCATGCAAAGTAAACATAATATCAAGATAAATGAGATGCAGCTTAATGCTCCAAGTCTGTGGACAAATGTGGAAACATCATTTCAATGCAACAGGAAAAGAACTAAAATAGAGGTACTTACAAAGTGGCATGAGGACTCAAAGAAAAATGGACTATGTCAAGGAGCGGACATTCAGAGCAAGCTTCACAGAGAGGACATGTAAACTGAGTTTTGAAGAATGTATGGAGTTTGCAGGGGAGGAAGGGGAGAGAGGACATTCCAAGAAGAAAGAAAAATATGTACAAAGATTCAGAGTTAGAAGAAGTAAAGCTGAAATGAGATGAGAAACGGAAGCTTAGAGAAAGTAAGTAACTTGCTTAAGGTCACACAGTTGGTAAGTGATAGGGCTGAGAATTGAACCCAGCTGAAGGTGTTTGTGGGCATTTGTCCTGTTTCTTGAGAGTGCTGGAGCCGAAAAAAAGGTTGAGAACCAGTTCGGAGGGCCTGTCATACAAGTTAGAGGAGTTCAGGGTACGTTCAGTAGACAATGGGGAATCATGAGAGGTTTTTAAGCAGAGAAGTAACATAGTCTCATTTGGGCTTTAGAAATATAATTCCAGCAGTGATTCTTAATCTTGACTGCAATTAGAATCACTTGAGAAGCTATCAAAAATTACTAGGGAGTCTCTAGAACAATTAAGCCAGAATTTCTGGGGGTGGGACCCAGTTTTCTTTTGTTTCTTTAAATTCCTTGGGGATTCTAATGCGTGGTTAGGGTCAAGAACTACTGCTATAGAAGAACAGACTGAAAGATGAAAAAGGACTAATATTTATTAAGTACCTACTATGTTCGAGACTTTGTTCCAAATGCTTTATACAATAACTATAATCTGTATATATTAGGATTTTATATATGTCTAGTATCCTGACCCATCTCAACCATTTTGAGCCCTCTGCGGTGAACGATTATGTTAATCTTAGCCTTCAAGGTAGATATTATAATCCTATAATCCCTATTTTACCAATGAGGAAACTGAAGCATACACTAATGAAATAACTCATCCAAGATTATCAAATTACTAAATGACACAACTGAATTCAAATGTAAGTCTCTGTGATGCCCCAAACCCATGGTCTTTCCACTACACACCATTGCCTATGAGCCTAGCTTAATCCTCAGAAAAATTCCAAAGCAGGCATCATGACCCTCATTTTACAAATGAGGAAATTAGTCCCAGAAAGGTTAATTTGACCAGGTCACAACTAATAGGTACAGAGGTTCGGAGGGATTTAAATTCAGACCTGTATAATTCCAAGTCCACGCTTATGAAGGTAAAGTATTATAGCACATATTCAACACTTAATACTTCTTTCCTCTGAAAGAAGGGAAGCAAATTGGCTTATTAATATAATCCACAGTATTATTCCTCTTCCTTCTTGGGTTCTAGGAGGCTGAACCTCTCTTGAACTATCAATCCCAGAGTCCTTTTTGGGAGGGGAAGGGAAAGCAGAACTCTGCCATAACCCCCATCATATTCACCTGGAAAACCTTTACCCTTGGGTAAGTCCAACACTACAAACTTCTTCACACCCTTATCTAAGCAGCTGAATCATGCTAATTTGTCTCTTCCTAAATTAATTGTCCCAAAGCTCAAATGGGCATTCATTGCTCAGCAATATTACTGCCTCTCCTCAGGAAGTTCATTTTCCCACTCTTAGAGAGTATTATTTCATATCATTTCTTCTTTCCTCAACCCTCCAACACTCTCTGACAGAATCCCATCCCATAATTCCCTCTTCTCTGTTGCATCAAAAACTTACACCTTTCTACTGGATGGTTTCATACAATCTACGAACATCCCCTAGTGCCCATCTTTAAATACATCAAAAACAAAAAGCAGGCAGGGCGCGGTGGCTCACGCCTGTAATCCTAGCACTCTGGGAGGCCGAGGCAGGCGGATTGTTTGAGCTCAGGAGTTCGAAACCAGCCTGAGCAAGAGCGAGACCCCGTCTCTACTAAAAATAGAAAGAAATTAATTGGACAACTAAAAATATATAGAAAAAAATTAGCCGGGCATGGTGGCGCATGCCTGTAGTCCCAGCTACTCGGGAGTCTGAGGCAGGAGGATCGCTTGAGCCCAGGAGTTTGAGGTTGCTGTGAGTGAGGATGACGCCACGGCACTCTAGCCCGGGCAACACAGGTGAGACTCTGTCTCAAAAAAAAAAAAAAAAAACAAAAAAACATAAAGCAAAAACCTCCTTTGAGTCCACATTTGCCTCTAGCTACCACCCACTTCTCTGATATCCTTTTTGGCTAAACCTTTGGTTAAGAGCTGGCTTCATCAATCTCCATTTCTCCACTTTTTACTACTCAATCATCTCTATCTACTAGTGCCCCTGAAACTGATATTAATCAGGGGCTCTAGTGACCTCCATGTTGCCAAACGCAGTGATCTTTTCTTTGTCCTCAGCCTCTCAACAGCCTTTGGAACAGCCAATCATTACCTTCTTGAAACTTACTTTTGGCTTTGGTGACACCACATTTCTGGTCTTTCTACCTCACTGGTTGCTTCCTATCTCACTTGCTTCTTCTCAGACTCATGTTCTACAGGTATCTCCTCCTTTGCCTGATCTCTAAATGTTATTATAACATAAGAGTCAGTCCTGGGTCCCCTTTTCTTCTCTATTCACGCATTTTCTCTGAGTGATCACATTCATGCTCGTGCTTTTGGATACGGGTTTGTCACCACTTATATAGCAATTGGGTACTAAAGTCAGCTCATAAAGAAATAAAATCTCATAAAGTTGACTTTTTTTGAAAATTCCCTAAAATTGCTCAATAAAGCATAGCAGTTGTGGTTTCATACATGTTAATTTTATACATGGCTGTGGCCATATTTATGTGCCAAACTGAAGATCAACATACTAACAAGCCCTAACAATCAATTGTTCCTCCCATGTTGAAATAAATTGTTTTTATTGAGCAATAGATAAAGTACTTGGGAAATTTCTATTTTTAAAGAGTACACACTTGGAACAGCAAGATGCTTCCACTATAAGAGAGAGTCAGGGAATGAATCCATCTGAGGGACTAGAAGATTCACACCTCCCCATTTCATAATCACGTCACATGTGCTTTCCTTGAGTATAAAGGAATCACCCACTATTTCAAGTATTAATATTTCTCATTCTCTTTGGTTTAATATGTATAACTGAATTTTAATAAGTTAAGTGCTTGTAGAACTCCTCTGTACCATTTATACATTTATGACTTCCAAATTCACTTCTCTAGCACTGAACTTTTTTCCTGAGCTTCAGACTCAGAACCAACTACGTACTTGGCCATCTCCACTTAAAATCAACTAGGCATCCTAACACATCCCACACTTAGCAATTGATTCCACCTTCCATGTCTCACCTGCACCAAAAAGCTATTCTTCTCTTAGTCTTTCTTAGCTGGGTAAATGGCATGCCATCTACCCAGCCAAAAACCCTAACAGTGATCTTTCATTTTTCCCTTTCCCTCACTTCTGCATGAGGTACATCTAGATCCACCTCCAAAATATACCCCAAATCTATCCATTTATCTCCATCAGCACATACACCAACCTAGGCAAGCCACTATCATCATTTCTACTTTGACTGGTCCTCCTGTTTCCACTCGTAGCTTTTCTATGGTCCCTTCTCCAAATAGCCAGAGTAATCCTTTATGAAACGTTCGCTCATTCATTCATCAAACATTTTTTGAGAGTGCAAAGGAACTGGGGATACAACAATGAAGCAAAGTAGATCCCTGTGCTCTGGGACACTCATTCCAGAAAAGAGAGGGGCAATAAACAAGTAAATAATTTTGCATAGTACAAATGCAAGGAAGAAAATAAAAATTAAATGTGATAAATTAAATCATTTTGCTCTCTCCAAAAAAATTTTTGAATAGTTTTCCAAGGTGTTTAAATTCCAAATTCCTTACCATGACCGTTTTACAAGATTCTGTAAAATCTGGTTTCTGTTTGTCCGTCCAACTTTATCTGTACTACTCTTGCACACTGCAACCTGGCTCCAGTCACACTGGCATCCCTTCTATTCCCTCAATGTTCCAAACCTTTCCCCTTCTTCAGGCACCTCTTTCCCCTATCCAGAACGCTGTTCCCAGATCTTGGAAAGGTTGCCCCCTCTTGGCTCAAGTATCACTTCAACAGAGTAATTTAATCTAGGTAAAAGTTGCCCCTCAACCCTCTTCTCTATCAATTATACCTTTTTATTTGTTTCACAGCACTTATTACTTTCAGAGATTATCTTGCTTGTTTATTTGTTAACAATATCTATTGTCCCCACTAAAATGTAAGCTCCCTAAAAAGAGGAATTTTGGGATGCTGTTTACCAAAGTATCTTTCAAAGTCTAGAACAGTGCCCGGCATAAAAGGATATTTATAAATATTTTTTAAAAGAATTTATAAATAGATACGGATTATTCGACAATAAACCATACGAGTTTCTCACCACAGCCAGGCTCCGCCTCCAGGAGCCACTTCCTCTCACAGCGTAGCGGGAGCCTTTTCCTTCGAGGCAAAGGCAGTCGTCTGCGCAGGCGCCGTAGGACCGCGGGGCTTTCTGGGTAAAAGATGGACGTCCACGATCTCTTTCGCCGGCTAGGCGCGGGGGCCAAATTTGACGTGAGACGCTTCTCGGAAGATGCAGCCAGATTTCAGGTACTGTGCTCAGGGGGCCGAGGCCCCTGTAACTCCGGAGGAGCAGGAACCTGAGGATAAACCGGGTGCTGGGGGAGCCGGCGCACACGGACATCCCTTGGAGTATTTCCCCTCCTTTTGTGTTCAGCTTACCCGCAGACCTACCAGGTTCAAGCCTTCTAAATAAACTCTTTTCCTATCCTATCGTAGACATAGTCGGGCTTGGCATGAAGACGCTCTTTCCCCTCTTCTTAGTTTATTCAAAGCAAAGTTGGAATCTTTCATAGGGAACATTTTCTCGAAACTGGTGGAAGATTTTTCAAAAACAGAAAAAACCAAAAATGGAGAAAACAGATTCTTTCACTGTAGTCTACCCATGGTTAGCTTGGGATGCCTATAGTTGTACCGGGTATGGTTCTTTTTATTGCTCCAACCCCATGGCGTGTTAAGTAACCAATGAGAAGAGCGATTTAGAAATGGGAGATTTTATATAGGGAAGTAGTAAGTGATAAATTGGGAGAAATCAACTGGGGCCCAGTCGTGGAAAATCTTGAATGTCAACCTTGGTATTGGGACACTTTTGTGAGTGCCTGCGACATGAGTTTCTTCTCTAACTGGCAGTATAATGTAGTTAAGAGTATCAACTCTGGAGCCAGATTATCTGGGTCCAAACTCTGAGTCTGCCAGTTACTATTTAATATTATAGTTTTGAGACCTTGGTTAAACTACTTAATCTCCGAATACGTCAGTTTTCTCATCTTTAATACTGCTGTTTACCTTGTAGGGTTATGAGGATAAAGTAATCTAACATGTATAAACATGCTTAGAAATCTCCTTGATGTATAGTAAGTGTATATAAGTGTTTATTGCTATTGTGATTATTATTGTTACTATTATAAGGTCAGGAAAGGTATCGTTTTGGATTCCATTTGCCCAAACACACTTGTCAGCTTGACAGATATTTGGAAAAAGAGTCGAAAAGATGGGGAGTCATTGGACCTATATCCTCTCTGTCAGTCTTGCTTGAATGAAAGCAATGCTATTCTGTCAGTAGACTTCATATTAAATGTTTTGGGTTTTAGATAGGAAAAAGGAAATATGACTTTGATTCTTCGGAGGTGCTTCAGGGACTGGACTTTTTTGGAAACAAGAAGTCTGTCCCAGGTGAGTGTGGAGCATCACAAACACATCAGGAGCTCCAAAATGAAAAGAAACAAGAAGAGAGCCTAACTGAAAGGAAGAGGGAGCAGAACAAGAAAAAGAGGAAGAAGATAACTTCAGGTTAGTCTTTGATTTCTGTTATGTTTTTTCTCTTTATTTAAATTTTTTCAGTTACAAAAATAATACAAGCTTAAGGTTTCAAGTCAGAC